CCTCTGTTGAATGTGTGTGACCTTTGAGCCCCAGTAGCACCTCATTGCAGTACATGAGATCCAGGGGGCGGAGTTGGATCCAGATCCAAGGGGTGGAGATTAGGGATTAGGGGTGGGGTTAGGGATCAGGGGGCGGCCGCGGAGATGGGTAGGTTTAGGTAGCCATATGTAAGGTGGAAGGAGTTGGATCTGGATCCAACTACTCCCCCTGGATTTCGTGTTCTGCAGTGAGGACCATCTCGCTTTTTGGCAGAGCGAGCGAGTCGAGATGGTCCTCACTGCAGAACACGAAATCCAGGGGGAGGAGTTGGATCCAGATCCAACTCCTTCCACCTTACATATAGGCTACCTAAACCTACCCATCTCCGCCCCCTGATCCCTAAACCCACCCCTAATCCTACCCATCTCAACCCCTTGGATCTTGATCCGACTCCTCCCCGTGGATCTCATGTACTGCATTGAGGTGCTACTGTCCTCGTCGGCTCTGGCCGCACCCTTTCACCATGGCACGTGAGCGAAAGAGAAGAGAAGTCGTTTCGAGGGGGAAGGGAAGGGTAATGTATTTGATTAAAGACTATAAAGGGTACATGAATTTAAAAAAAATAATGAAGTGCACAGATAAATCGTTTATAATAAACACTACAATATATAAAAAGAAGATTTGTCAAATTTGATTTTCATCATGCCGATTTTAAAGAGTTACGGTAACATGAATACAGCTCATTGGTGTGTGTCGGTGGACAAAACACTGCTTGCATATCTTTGTATAAATAAGATCTAAGACGACTAAGCACAGTTTTTGCTTTAAAATTGTAACGTTTTTGAACAGATGCTGTTAAGTAAATAATACCATAGGTTAAATTTATGCAAAATCATTTCTGGGTCATTCTATGGAAATGTCCATTTTCTGTCACTAGCCTTTACAGAAATATCACACTTGAAAAACACTTGGTTACAATTTCTTACATTTTAAAATAAACCAATATGTTATTTGAACAATTATGCCTTCTTGAACCATCAATGTGACAATATTTGATTTATTTAAATTAATTATATAGAATTTCAAGCACCACAGAAGTGCTCGACACCAGTCATGTACAGAGGGAAAATGCTTTAATTTAATGTCAATGACAAGTTTATCCCCCATTTAAAATACAATAATATATACATAACTATCAAATATATTATGTAAATTATATTTATAAAAATAATCTAGAATACTTATGGATTAAACTACTTGAATTTTTCATGAAAATTGTCACTGGTTTTACTTTTCTTATGGGTAACCCCAGTGACACCTGTGACCCATTTATAGATAAACTTTATTCAAAGCTATTCATTTAGATTGTATGCCAAATATAACAGTTAGTCTCATCTACTTAATTATGGTTGAAGAATATTGATCTTTGACCTTATGTGTGTCATTGGTGTTACTGTCTTTTCAGTCACTTAAATAAAATGTCACATGTGACATGATAATAATTTTACATCCATTTAATTCTGATGCACTCAAATTTAAGATTTAAAGGATTGCATCATTACTTGATTTTAACTGTTTTTTCAAATATTTTCATTGTTATAGCAAATACATGGTAGCGCAGATGAACTAACATAATTCAAGCATACTTTTAACAAACCTGATTAAAATAAATAAAACATAATCTCCTTAATAATTTCTGTAGACTACATGTGCTGAATTTTTTTTGTGAAATATTTCATAAAAACCTTTAATATTGCCAAAGAAGTAAGGTAACACAAGTGTCAAAGTGGTAGGCCTACACGCAGTCTTTAAATAAATGCACAAAAATATAAAAAACCATTAAGCTGTCATTTATGTGTTTTCATTAAGTCAAAGGGTGTTCTAAAAATGTGTCCTAAGTTTAAATGTAAGGGGTGCCTATTTCTTTCATGCTTTCTCCAAGGAAAACAGGATGGGGGACAGCTCCCTATGAAAGGACGATTTAGATTATCATAACAATCAATGGATAAGAGTATAGGCTATATAATTTGTAACTTTGTGGTCATTTTGTTTTTACTTTCTCTTGAAGACACAGGTATAAACATCTAATTATATTGATCTTACAGTCTGGTCCGTGAAGTGTCAAAATGGTCACATTTTGGGGTCTCCCTGCCAGACAGGAAGGATTTCAGATAAGAGATTTTAGGAGACAGTTGTAAAACACCAGATGACCAGGCTATCTTTTAATTGCTCGATGTTTCCTGAAACAAACTGCAAATGCTAATACATAGCAGCTACACAGAGAGGAAGGGGAGGGCCGGTGCCCCTGCCATGATGGAAACAATCTTCATTTTCAATTTAGCAAACGGAGAGCAAACATCTCTTCTACTCAGAAATTCAAGGATCTGTGACCTCCTAATTTCACAGATGGTAAGTTCACTTCAACATATGTTTAAAACTAATTTTAAAATACTTTATAATTTAACATCTTATTTCAAATAATATGACCTATTATTCACTATGTTATGTTTTATTTATCTATGTAAGTCAGTATATTGTGGTGTCCACATGATGACCCTATATCACGGATGTATTAGATTAAAATGCTTATACTTGATAATTTAACATCTTATTTCAAATAATATGAACTATTATTCACTCATTTATATGTTTTATTTATCTGTGTAAGACAGTATATTATGGTGCCCAGTGTCCACAAGATGACCCTCGCGGCATTTCATATCCATGACATATCTCCTCTGTTCATAATTTCATCGTTCTGTCTGTGAACATTATGCTGCTATAATAAAAATAAAAAACTGAAAAAAAACAGTCACACTATGCAGACAGCAGTCATAAACACACATCCATAAACACACTGGAAAGGTCACAAACCACCTGGTAGTCATAAAACCCCATAAATGGTCATATCCTGTCATAAAATATGTCATAAAACCATAAATCATTCTGACACATAGTGCCCCGTATACACTACTGTTGTCATTACAGGTATGGTTTAAAGACACTTCAAGAAAATATTTATTTATTTAGTTTGTTGAATATTAAAATAGGTCAACATAAACCTATTTTAGTAAATAGCTACTTTGATGTTTAACATTACAATTCCAGGAGCCTTTACAGTGGACCTTACATTTAAGATCAAGACTTTCAATATCATGAACCGCTAGAATCTGAGTTTTCATAGTCAGCTCTGGATGTGTTAATTGAGCTAATAAAATATAAACACATGTTCAGTTTTCATAGAAGCCAAGCAGATTTGTGTGTAAGGTCTTGAATGAAATAAAGAACATCAGATTTGTTTGCATTTACAGAGATGTCGACTGATCAAACATATCCTCCTGAGAATCAGACATATCTGACCTCCATAGAGTAGGAATAAATATTTTTATATTTATCTGAGACCACAATTGTTACATTTGTAAAATCGATTTGTCTGAAATAAATGGTCAGTATTTATAGGCTACTATAGGCTTTATAAGTCTATTTGATTTTTAAATTTAGGCATATAAAAAACCAGATAGGGTTGCAGTTTTCGCTGTTTGGTAAAGCAGATTTCTATACAAGACATTGTCTGTTCCTGAAACTTCCGGTTTAATGGGAGATGGAGAAAAATTATGTGGAATATCTCGTGCTTTTCCTAATTAGCCGTCAAAGCATGCCCGGTTTGTTAATAATAGGCTCTGCTACTTTATTTTCTTTAATAAGTAATAAATAAATAAGGCCGCACATAACTTTGTAAATCAGCCATTGCAATAATCAAATGTGGACTAGTTAGAGGACATAATCGAAGCATAAGAAGCAGTGATAAACAATTAAATAAAATCTCTGTGGAGTGCTGGAGAGAAACTGACAATATCAACGCTACAGATCTTGTCCAAACTTACGATCACACCAGATAAACTTGGAAATGTCAATTTGTGAATGTAAAACACTTTTTTTTATTTCTTCTGTCCTTCTGTTCAGTGTTATTCTGAATTATTATGTTCATAAATCAACATCGTATCCCCCTTTTAACCGCTCTATAAATATTAAAGAGTAGCAGGAAAATTATATCTAAACCTTGACTTGTCTTCTACACTTGAATCTTGTGTGACATCTTTACTGTTAGCTGAATATATTTAGCCTGTGACACCACATTTGTGATATTGACCTGGGTTTTAAAGACTACTACAATTCTGATACAATAGTTCTCAAAATGCATGTGATTGTAAAACATTCATAATGCATTATTTTATTTGAATGATTTGTAATGTAATATTGCAGTGCCTGATATATTAAATAAAAAGTATAATCTGTTAAAAACATGGCCAGATTTGAAGTCACCATGTCTACTTTAGTAACTTTACAGTCTTTAATCTTGTCATATGATGAAACATTGTTAAACATGAATAAACATTATCATCTTTGATAATCTGTTTTGTAACAATGTGTAATGAGACATTTATTTTCTCCTTTATAGAGAACATAATAAGGAGATAAAGCTTGCTGAAATCAAATGAACAGCAAATCAAAAAGTTAGCAAAGTGCATGAAAAAAAATCATATATTAAAAACATTAATTTCCTTTTATTTGCACGGTCTGTGTAGACTGTAATATACATCAACTTAGAGTAAACTAATGAATTTCTCTTTGAAAATAAAAACAAATTAACCAATAGATATCACTAAACAGAGATTTCCACCTTAGACCTCTTGTTTATGTGGTGTCATGACTTTGACCACCAGCCTGGCCCTACTTGCACAATCACAATGATGAGAAAACAGCTTTTACTCAATTCATTTGCTTCCATCATTCTGTTTCTCGTACACTTGATAAGATTCCTTGTCTACATTCCTATTTATGGATACTTGGGGCGGGGAGTGCTAATTTTATTATTACAATCACATATATTGATTTGGTGTTTTTAAAGTAAAATATAGACTTATAAAAAGTACACAGCAAACATCAGATGGAAAAAAAAAAGAGTAATCACACATCCCCACCCCAAAATAAGTCGTCCATGCTCCCTACTTACCGTTCGTCTTTTTGCTTAGCTTCTTTTCATTCTTTATCTTACATTCTTTACCTTCATTTCTTTTGTAATGCAATTATATTCAGTTTACACCAATACCTCTAAAATTCCACTATAGAGTTTGGGTGGTAAACTCGGTTTTACAAACTTACAAACATCATTCTCATGGTGCTCTCCTGCTGTTTTCTATAGTGCTAGAAGTTAGCATGGCTTCTGTCTAGAACTCAGGACACATAAATAAAAATAAGAATATTTATCATTTCCAAATACCAGTGACATGCATTCCCATGAATGAGAATCAGTTACACTAAACCAGTGTACAAAAAGTGCAATATGCCTATCTGTACATAAAGACTTTTTAAGTATTTTATATTTCAAAATTGCTTAAGCAGTTTGAGCCTAAGATCTAAAGCCTTGTTTATCTGTGAAAAAGCAAAAACTCTAGAGTAAAATCATTTGTGTTTGTGTTTGTTAATTTGTTTTTCTCTCATAGTTCTCTGTCTGTACTTCCTGTCCGGCAGTTTGTACAGTTTCTGTTTGCACATGCTCAGTCTTGGCAACAGACTCTGCAGAGTTCTGAACAACGCTCTCAACCCTGTTGGGTTTCTTAGAAATAGGTGGAGGAACTTTGTTAGCAGTTTTGTGTGAGTCATTAGACTTGGCTGAATCAGAAACAGATGCCAACTCTGCCACCAGAGTCTTCCTCAGGTCAGCCTGAACCTCTAAGGATGACGGTGTCTCTATTACGACCTTCTTTGGGCTCTTGGAGAAGATGAAGCTGGCCGTAGTTGCAGGGGAGTTGGGTACAGTGGTGCCACCAGCCATGACTGGGAGAGGGGAGCGCTGACCAAAGAGCTTGGCTTGCTTGTCTTTTGGAGACATAGTGGCAGCCTTCAAACGTATAGCATCCTGGAGACGCATGGAAGGGTTGGTGGGCAAAGAGACTGCGGGAGGCATGGAAGAGACAGTGGGCATTGGTGTTTGGGGTTTGGGCTGCTCACCCTCCAGCTTTGAGGGTATTTCAACGGTGCTTGATTGCCTCTCTGGATTTTGCGGAGGCTTATTGAGTTCTTGTGCCTGAAGTTGAGTCTTTGGCTCACTTATTGATTGGTCCTTTCGTTCCATTGTGTTTGGCAGGGTAGCAGGGACAGGTGCTGTAACTTGGATTTGTTCCTTGAGTGTTTGGGGTTTGAGTTCTGGTTCAGAACAGGGTTGTTTAGTTGCTGGTTCAGTAGGAGCTGAAGTGTTCCTTGGTTCGGTGGTTGGACTTGTAGCTGATGAGCATGCAGGCTCAAGTCTTGTGTTTTGGGGGTTTTGAACAATATTATTTGATTTAGTCTTTAGTTCAGTTGACTCTTTCTGAGTATTTGGTACAGTGGTTGTGTTTGTGTGCACGTTGACAGATGGAGATTCGGTTTTTGGCTCTGTGCCGGACAGAGCTTCCACATCAGGGGGCAGTGATGTCATAATCAAAGACCGTCTAATTGGTTTTGGTGGCACCTCTTGATTGACACCCGATTTTGGTTTGGGTTGTGATGGTTTATCGAGATCTACAGCCTGACTCTGATTGGACTTTACCGACCTTAGACGAACCAACTGTAAGAGAGACTGGGTGACCACTGGACTGGAGGTCTCCTCTTTGGTCAGTGAGGGACTGCTTGTCTGTTTCGCTGTTTCTGTTGTCTCTAGTCTGTCCTCCATTTTTACATCAGTAGGTAGTGGAGGAGGAAGAGGAACAGTGACTTGTTGAAATCTTACATCAGTGGGTAGTGGAGGAGGAGGTGGAGTAACGTTGATTTGTTGAGAAGTTGCAGATAATGCTACTAACACATTGGGTATTGAAGATTGGGATTCTTGCAGAGGGGGTTGGATTTTCTGTAGTTCAGAAGGTGGTGTTGGTGGAGGTGGAACTTGTTGTGGTGGTGGCGGTGGAACTTCTTGTGGTGGTGGCGGTGGAACTTGTGGTGGTGGCGGTGGAACTTCTTGTGGTGGTGCAGGTGGAACTTCTTGTGGTGGTGGCGGTGGAACATCTGGTGGTAATTGAGGCATTATAAGTATAGACCGTGGCGAAAATGGTGGGGGTGGCAGAGGGAAGTCGGTATCATTTGGCACAGCGACAGGAGTTTCAGAAGCTGTGCCTACTGGAGGCGCCGGAGCAGGAAACAGAGGAGGTGGAGGGATCCAAGAAGTCAAGTCCTTTATAGCTTTGGCAACTAGCGTAGGAGCTGAAGGAACAAAGTCTGGAGGGGGCGGAGGAGGTTTGGCTTGGCTGATGTTTGGCATTGGTGGGTAATGTTCTGGGGGAGGTGACGGAGACGGGGTGACACTGGCGACTGGTGCTAAGGATTTAACTTTGGCTTTTAGCTCCACTGCCTGCAACACTGATGCTGCGTCACCATTTGATGAGGTCATGTCTGGTTCATCCACAATTTTAAGACCTCTCTTTTTAGCCCATCGTGCATAGTTAACTGGGCCAGGCCCACACAGCAGTTTGAAAGTATGTTGGTTGTGAGCCCAGGTTTCTGGAGGAGGAGCTGGGGGAGCCAATACTTTGGGATGGTTAGGAATGTCAAACAGAGCCATTACAGCTGGGGAACATTTGTTACCATTAATTAAGCTTGCAGACAGAAAGATGTTATTCAGTTCAGCAAGCTTACGGGTGCCATTAGTGTATGAATGGGGTGCGCCAATGGAAGACATTTGAAGATTATTTCTGTATGTCTTTAGCTCAACTGGAGTGGTTTTCTTGTCCATGCTGACTGGCTGGATCTCCTTTGATGAGACAGTTGTGAGTCCATTGGAGGTAGATAAGCCTCTCTTAGGGCTTAACTCATGAGTGGTCACGTTCATTTCAGATACAGTGGGGTATGGTGATCCATCTGGAGTGCTGACATCAGCCAAATAGTAAGGATTTTCAGATCTCCTCTTGGTCTGTTTCCCGTGTAAGGAGTATGACCTGCTGGGAGGAGCTGGAGGTATCTTGCTTCGTTTCATCACTGATAAGTTACGTGTGAAAGCATCAGCAGATCCTGTTTTTCTGCTGTCCTCCTCTTCTGTAGAGTCCCCATTTCCATGAGTAGTTTTAAACGGAGCATGGGAACCATGGTTGTTCAGCTTGACTGGTCTAGCCGTGTTCTCAACCTGACTTGCCCTGCTGGCCACACGGGGAGTGCTACTGCTGGAGATGGTGGAGGAATCAGATACTAGTGTCTCTGATGATCCTGAGCTGCTCCACCGAGAATAGTTTGAGCGGGTTGAGTAATAATTTGAAGAGGTTCTGGAGGATGGACGGGTGGAGGAATAATTTGAAGAGGCTCTGGAGGATGGACGGGTGGACGCTGGGCTGGCTGACACTAGGCTGCTCTTGCTGACGGTTCGGACACTGCTGCGACTTCGGCTGCGACTGAGTTCCACAACATCCACAGATGGTGGAAGGACAGCATTTGGAATGATTTTAGACATGTATGTGGCCTGAGGTGAGATAGACATGACTGCACCGGTTGGGTTCTCTGTCCAAGGAACAACTAGAGAGCCTGCTCCGAACTTTTCTGGATCTACATAATGATTTAAGGACCTTTGGATTATGTCATCTTTGGTTATAGCCATTGTGGGAACCTCTGTGTTGTGTTTCTTAACTGTGTGCCGATTCTCTTTGCCCTGTAGATGGTCTTGTACATTAGCAGAAGCACCATCCACAGTGGAAAATATGGTGGGTATTATCATGTCTCCATTGGACAGCTGGCTATCAAGAGGATTGGTGGTGATCCATTCTGCCCTGTCCAACCCTTCAGATATGACATATTCAAAAATAAAATAAGTACACATAACATGTTTTCCACTAAATAACTTAAAGACATGCTGTACAATACAGAAGACTGCAGTGAAACATACCCAGTTCTCTCTGGATGTGTCGAGGAATTCCTACAACAGTTCTCAAGTGCTTTCTACGAGACTTGGTCCTCTCTGCAGTCTTATCCGGCTTCAAAGGTCTAAACGTTGAGGCTGGAAAAAGGAAATGAAAAACAATGTTGCTGTGACATTGCATATTTTATAAGAATTTGTAAAGCACTTTATGAGGATTCCAGGCCATGGTCTTCTTATGACAAAAATGGATATGACTGATAATGTGTTTATATGTGAATGTGTCACCTTGGCGTTTGAGTCCTGAACGTGTTGATCGTGAGGACATGGAGGAGCACATCGAAACAGAATCAGCAGCTGTGCTCTCAGATTCAAAACCTCTCAGTTCACTGAAGGCCATGCTGTCTTCAGTCTGAGCTGTTACTGTTGACTAAAGTAAGCAGCATGGTTAACCCTCTAAATTTAAAATCGTCAATCAGCAATTTAAAAGTATAGACCAGTTTAGGTACACAAGCATCAAGCAGGCTGTCACTCTAATGGGAACATAATTAAAAGCAATCGTAATAGGAACTGAGGGCTGACTGATGCATGGAGGAACACTTACAATCATACTTTGGTCATCAGGGTAGTCCGTCCCATTCCTATCATCTGGAACATAAAACATTATCTCTTAACCCAATTAAATGAACTGTTTAAATGTTTAAACAACTGTTTAAACCCAATTAAATTAACTCTGATAAGGAGTTTGATTTTTCTTACCCTCCTGCTGCTGTTTTAGGCCCTGCTGGGCCTCTGTGTGCAGGTCTAACACATATTTAGGCCGATCACCCTCCACAAATACATTTTCTTGGAACTTCTGAAGAGAAACAGCACCTACAACTTCCTCTTTAGGGCCTGCAGACAGAGAAACAGAAAGTAATACATTTTAATATCTAATATATATGCAGGTGACAGACAAATACACTGTTATAAAGACAAAATTGAATGTTTCAAATCTTTGATGTTTTAAAAGTAGATATACCCACACAAACAATTGCATGCTAGCAAATAATATAGTGACTTATCATTTTGTTTCTGAAACTGAAGCTAATGCAAAGTCAATTATCTCATTCACCTAACCAGGGTTTCTCCTGTGTTTTCGTGCGGCATCCTATTGTGACACTTTATCACTATAGAGACTGACTGTCCTGTAACATGACAATTACATTGTGGAAAGACCATGCTTAAATTATCCATGTGGCCTGATTTCACCCTGCTAATTCACTCATTATTTCTTGGGTCTTCGGGAGCATTTTTTCCACAGTTTTCAAACTATTTCTATTCATTGCATCTCAATCAGAAAGTTGTTTGTAATTTACTGCACTGTGATGACCAAACAATTATTCACAATGCAAAAAGTTGATTAAAAAAACCCTCTGAAGAACAAACTTTTTAAAACTGATTTGTTGTGAACAACAGTATTCTGTTTTTAACATTCACCCTTTACATGTAAACATGACATTACAGGTTTTCATTAATAACTGCATACTGAAAAGTAGACATGGATTTTCTACATGGGCATAATACAGACAGCTTAAAGACTTTCCAGTCAAATTTGACAAAATCTGACAAAAAAAAAACTACCTTTTGATTTAAAGAAAGAGAGAAAAGAACTGTCATTTTGATTCAGCAAAAGCACCATGTCTGAATTACCACCGGAGTTTAAAGTGATTACTGGTACATCCTAAAGAGGGCGCCAGCACACACACATTTTAGAGTGAAGAGCTTCACTTAACTTCAACTAACACACAGTATTTGGAGAGTTTTGGTAATCCTATACAGATAAATACCCCATAACACATGTACTATAGGCTAAAATATGGTATAAATTATGTCTGAATTTCAAGATTAAACCAAGGTAGCGCAGGGCAAAAGGTAGACCAAGAGTGTAACTGCATTAAAAAAAAAAAGAAGATATGAAGAACCTTTAGGCAGGTTATGGATTATTTACGGTTTCTTGAGGTTTAAGGTTGTAAACAAAGCTTTCACTGAATATGAAGATGAAGCCTGCATGTGCCATACCACCAATTACCTATGGTATTTGGCCTTAAGATTTCAGGTTATAATTAAGAAAATAAAAACAATGATATGAGCAATGTGACAAGCTTTGAATAAAGTGCCTCTTTCATATGTACTACATTTATGATGCTTTTATGGTTCCTTTTTTTTAGTCCACATTGTGTATAACATTTTGTGTTTCATGGAAGAAGAAAAAATACAAGAGGTGAGTAAATGACGAAATTCCATTTCTGGATGAACTGTTCCTTTAAGACAGCTGTTCAACATGTTCATTTTCTCAACACTAGATGGAGTAGTAGAAAAAATAAACTGTGAGGTCACAGGTAAACCTGGAAGTCAAAGACAGATTTCCCAACAAATATCAAAGTAGTGTATCAGCAAATATCAATTTAAAAAAATTATAATCATTGTAGATGGTTAAGTAACAGATCTACATTATAGATAATCTGGCCCTTCACACATTACCCTTTAATATTGCACTTGAATTATTTAATTTAATTAATTTAATTATTTATTCTAGTTGGTCAGCGAGGACTGCAGTGAGAATGATAAAACCCAACCTCAGTTCATCTCAAACCAGGTCAGACATGTCATCATCCTACAGCCCAGAGAGACCCGCCCACTCATAAATCACATGACTGGCCTTCCTTACCCAACTTCATTAATCACCGTAAGAGAAGACGACCAGTAAGATCTGCAATTATATTTTAAATGAAGCAGCATCAGAACAAAGAAATTTTGTTCTTTAAATGTATTAAACATTCACCGCTTTTTTCAACTGGGAATAAATTGAAGTTAAAAAGTGCTAGAAAAAGGAAAGAAAGTGAAACTTTTCTGGTCGCATTAGTATTTATGTACGTCTCACTTCTGCGTCTTTAGATGCAGACAGCCAAACCACAGATAAAATGTTCCTGCAATGGTTTTGGAACATTTAAAATAGTTGGACAACCACAGAGCTCATCTTTTCAGCCCTGAGAAAGATAACATGCTGTGTCTTATAGTAAAGACGAGAGACTGCATTCTTAGGCATGATGCTAATACCTAATGTCCTCTTGTACCTTATTGCTTGACATTCCAAAAATGAACACATCAGCAATATAATAAAGACATCAATGTTCAATTTTAATAACAGGAATCATATAAGTCCTTCTCCAGTCCAGAAAGACGATTTTAGACCAAAAACATTAACGTTACATGACCACCCGCATGTCAGGTGTGCATTTATCAACATTTTTGAACGTGGCTAATCCATTCAGAATTTAAAGTTATTTGTTTTAGAAAACTACATTAGTGACATGAATCCAATATGAAATGCTCTAATCTAATAGTAAATACTCTTTCTGGGTGTTTGTGTGTGCATAGAGTATTGTGTTGATGGCTAAAGGTTATATAATCTGTACCATGACCTAAATTGTTGTTGAATGCATTCTCAGAAGTTCAGAGACGTTCTGAAAACTTGATAACCTTCTGAGAAAGCAAAATAAAAGCAGCACAGAATAAGAAAGACTCGTACATGCCTGGACTTGTTGAGGGCAGATGTCAGAGCAGCTGCAAGGAGTCTTGATTGGGATAAAACTCACACATAGACACAGTTTTAACTTCGGTTTTAATTTAACTAAACCTCATGTTTCATGGTGGTTGCGCCTTTCTATCAAAACCAAAAACCCGTCAATGACTCGAAAACAAAGCTACAGAAAAACATCAGTTTATCTCAGTTCCGCGAATGAAACCTTGACTACGTCACTCGAGAGACTTTATTCAGGCGCCTGATGCTGCTGTCTTTCAGAATAGATTTAATAAAGGTTATTAAATGTATAGTAATCAGTAAAGTCAAGCCAAAGGTGAAAAGACAAGAAGCGAGGAAAAAAGAGAAACACAATGTGCTAGAATGAATGATAGAGATTAGCAAGGTAAACAGGCACAGTTCAGTTCTCATCACTGGCAGCTGGATCCCATAGGCAATGTGTGTGCTGGCAGGAAGCTCAGGACTGCCCTGCCCTGCCCTGACAATGCCTTCTGTGTTTTTGGACAGCAGGGGGCAGCATTTCGGGACCGTTTTCATAGCGTGGTGCAGGTATGACGTCACTTTGTAGGCCATACAACAGTTCGCATAACGCTGGTTACCTCGACAAAAACCCAAAAGGATTTTCCCATAGGCTTTTGGATTATCACTAAAAACAAGGTCTGTGATCAACAAAAGTTTATGATACTTGCATGTTTTATCCATCAAGATAATTATCACAGATGAACACAACTTTTATGAATTTTTAAGCCTAAATGCAGTGGCCAGAAGTAAAAAGCTAAACGAACTACACCACGGTCCCACACCACTTCCGACAACTCTCTTTTAGTTTTTATCTAAAAACATTTTCCCATAAGGTTTGAGTTAGAAAAGTTTGTAAGAGCACAATTATAAGCATAAGGATGCTGTAAAAGTAGACTGAGTTTACCTGTTCGGTGTGATGGCGTTTAATGTCCTCAACAGCCTCTGTAGTCCCATTTAGCCACTTGTTAGCAACCGCCTTTTTCAAGACACGTAACAGCTTCAAAAAAATCACGAGTCGGGTAATATTGATGTGTTTTGTTTCGTGGAATAAATCGTGAAATGTCTTGAGCTTGTGTTCACCGCAGACCTTATTTTAACCATTTAACTAAAAAAACATTCAAAAAACCCATTGACTTCGGGGCGATGGAACCGGAAGTGTTAAAATGCTAACTCGCTTTCGCGTTTTGGCTTACAAATTGATGTCATACCTGCACCACTCTATAAAGACACTGTTTTCAATGTATAAAGTCACAACAGTGTAAAAGCAACAGCAGGTGCACAATGAGCTTTCATATAATCATTTTATAAGTGACATAATTGTGAACAAGGGCTAGAAGTGAAAAACGGATCATTATCAGATCATTATATACCAGCACCACTTCCTCTTGTACTACTGATTGAAGAATTGAGTTAATTTTAAAGCCGCAGTCCGCAGTTTTTCCTCTTTGTCGCCATCTCTATTCGAAATCTGCAATTGCAGTCATTCGCGGAATTATCAACTTTACGCGAGTTGTACTTCGACACCCTCGACACGGCACAGCGCGGATGAACACAATGTTTGAGGAGAGTGTGCAGCTGTCAGTCACCGCGCCGGTGTGGATACTGGCATTCAGAATCACAGATTATTCTTTTTGGAAGTATGACCAACATAATAATTTTCACCGGAAAATGTCATCTGAACAGGTAAGTAACATTCACTTTTGTTCTGGTTCTGAAATTGCAGTAAATCGCGCTGATTAAATCTAACAATCGCTTATTATATCAGGCAAAACCGTGCAAATTATACTTTGTTCTCAAATTGTTAATGTTAACAACGTCAGCATTGCGTGACTACATGTACTGTCCTTCTGATATGTATCCTTGTTTTCGCATGGGTCCGGTGTCAGTCTCTTTTTTCTGTAGTCACTCCGAAGTCCGAACGAAGTCTTTTGCATTTTACAGCGGGTGAATCTGTTGTCACTGGTGATTGTCGTTTGAACCTTTCTGGATCCGCCATCAAATTGATAAGTTTAATTATATCAAGTGCTGTGAGAAAAGGCTATAAATCTCCACCTCCAACATCCTCACACGCAATATAGCCTACTAGCCGAGACTCCTTCTTTATGTGTACAGATGTGACGTAATGACGCAAAGACAAGCTCAAATCTCCCGCGGAAATCCACCAGTACCACTGGAATTAAAAACATTATTACAAGCTTACCGTTTTGAATCGAGTTAAGGCAAGCAGATAGTTTTGAACACTGGCTGGTTATGTATTTTCTCAAATATGTATTTTGGATAATTTTTAACC